CAGTGCCAGAGCGACTGCTGCCACCGCGACAGCGGGCTGAGCCTGGCGCGATGTGTGCCGAGGGCGGCCGAGAACCAGGAGTGCTCCCCAAAGGTACGTGTTCCCCCACTCCCAGGGAGGGGAACGGGGATGGGGATGTGTCCCCCACCCTGCACGGTGCCTTGTTTCCCCGCAGAGCCTCTACGGAGTCTACTACAGGTGTCCCTGCGAGAGCGGCTTGTTCTGCGACGCTGATAAAAGCATCGTGGGCGCCATCACCAACAGCGACTTCGGCATCTGCAGGGACCCCAAAGAGTTCTGATGGGTTGTGGCGAATGAAGAGACCTCCCCTGGTACCCCCTCCTGCTTCTCCCCCTTTCCCCTTCCCCAGGGATGCCCCGATCCACCTGCACTGCCCCACCTGCGTGGGGGGGTCAAGTAAAGAGCATCTTCTGCTGAGCTGCCTGCTGGTGTTTTCACTCGCTGCATCCCTCCGACGACGCAGGACGGGGTCAGTGGGGCCAGAAAATCCTGGAAAAATACCCACAGGGCCAGAAAAACCCAGAAAAATACCTGCAGGGCCATGATGGCTTTGCCTATACATGTGTGCACACCAGATGCAATTGTGTAATAACCTGGGCTGGGGTGGGCTCTGCGCAGGGGGAGCGTTAGGAAAGGGGGTGCAGGGAGGGAGCCCCAGATTTGAGGGAGCCGCTGGGGTTTTGCCAGACTCGGTTTATTTGCTGCTGTGGCTGCTCTGGTTGGAAACATCCCTCGGAAGGGTGTCAAAGCAGCAGGTGCTGGTGGGTGTGTTTGCCCTTGCTGTGCTGCTGGCTCTGGGTGACCCCAGGGAGCTGCTCTTCCTCCTCCTCCTCCTTGGTGGGGGGACATGGCCGGGAGGGGTCAGCTGGGGGGGAGTGCTCCCCAAGAAGGATCTCATATGTGCAGCATCATGTGGAGCAACTTCTCCGGCCAGGAGATGTGCAGGAGCTCCGGGAATCTGGGATGGAACTGAGGCGAGGCAGCAAATCCCCTTAACCCTGCCCTGAGGCGGGGGGGGCTGTGCCCCGGG